AAAACTTGTCTCTAACCTTCTCCTGATACATAGTCCAGTTAAACCCAGGTAGTTCCTTAATAGTAGCTCATTTTGTTGCCACTAAAGGTCAGCTTTACCCCTGAGGTAATAGGTAGCACAACCTACTTTCGAATTCTCTAGGCACCCTACTGCCCCAAACAATTTCTCTAACTCCCTTAACTAGTTTTCAAGCACTGTTGGATCAGGTTCTTCTTAATAGGTTGGTGGCTTGCTTTGCGCCACCTTCTTAAATAGCTCTCCTGAGCATCCCCATTGTTGGTTGAGTTTCTCGCTAACTGTTGGGCGACTGCTGCCGCCTCACAACCTCACTCAGCTCATTCCCTTCATTATTGCTCCATTCCTCTTGCCATCTTTCTTCGCCTGAATTTAAAAAAGGGGTCTTTATTAATTATGGTCATGGTTAGCTCTCAAGTTACGCACCCATCTAACTAACTTATACCTTTCATATACACACGTTTAATTTTTTTAAGCTAACAATTGAGATTGCAAAATAACATTTCCTAAAATTGCAGCTTGATCAACCAAATTTTGATTGCTAACCAACCATACATTTAATAAAGCATCACAACAATAAATAAAAATAATTCCCATGATTTCCCAGAGTTTAGAAATAAATTATTAGAATATATTTGAGTAAGAAATGACTTATTGGAGTAGTGACATGAAATGAATTATTTGGTAGTAAAATGAATTATTTGGCAAGGAAATGAATAAAATTTTTATTGCTGAGAAAGAAAATGAATAGAAAGATGAAATGAAATGAGTTCGAATAACCTACGCAACTCAATAGGTTTATTGACTCACTGTGGCTATGCCATTTATTACTTTACTGACAAAGGAATTAATTAAAACTGAGGAAATAAAACTAAGAATCCTATAGGAAATGAAACTAAAAAAATCTAGTCCTTTAGAACATTGTCCTTCGATTGTTTGTAGCTTCTAGCTAGGATCGAATTCAGGGTCATCTTCCTCCTCCATTGGCTCAGGTGTCTCTGGATTTTGCTATACTTGAATGAATTCTTCATCTTCCTCATTGTCAGATGAAATATCAATTATAATTGGAGTTTGGGGTGGATTTGGATTTAGAATTTCCATAATGGAACTATCAACAGTATGATTACTCTCATCCATTAACTTTCCTTCCTCTTGCCCTCCATTCGCTCCTGCTTGATTACCCTATGGTGGAGCAGAATTTCCTGATTGATTGCTGGTAGATGGGGAATCATTCCCTGCTGGTTTATCATAGTAGTAATTGGGATATGGAATGTGTAAACGCTCGCAATGATATTTCTCAACTCTAACGAGGTAAGAAATCAAGTACGTATTTGTAGTCAGGGTACCACTGTCCGTATTAATCTTTATATTTGTAATAGTTGGGAAAGTCCCCAAGCAAATAGAAATCAGCAAATTTTGCTTTGACAGCAAGATATAGTGGTTCGTCAAGAAGACAATGAATTATCATAGCTGAAATATAATGAAGGTCATAATACTTGTCTCCTAGGACATCGCTCAAATGGGAACAATAGAAACGAATTTTCTTGACATAATCGAAAGGATGTTCATATTCTTTCTTAATTAGAGTACCAATTTGAGAGTTTTTGCTAGGAAAGATCGGCATCCTGTAAAGGAAAAGACTTAGAAAATAATTCCCTTCCCAAAGAGAATAAAATAATACAGTTCTTGCATGAATTAGGTTCAATGTTCAATCAAACAATCTCACTTATTTCTAATCGCATACTTACATGCTTCCAATCAATGAATTCACATGATCAAACATCACAACCTAAATACTAATGCATACAAGAACATGATTATTTTTAACTTATATGCCCAAATTCTTTCCTACTCAAGCTCACCAACATGCTTTTTAAAGCTTTTAACACATAATTCTTACCTTAGTCCTCGCTATCCTGTAAAATGAACAAACTAAAAATATTTTTGACTCCTCGTTTTTTTTTTATTATTTATTTTTTTTATATATAAAAAAAATTTCGAAAATAAATTCCGAAAAAGGCTAAGAATTTCGGCCCTCATAAAAAAAAAAATTCGAACACCCTAATAAAAAAATTAAATTCGGATGTACCCAAAATAAAAAAAAATTCGGATTTCTCCAAAATAAAAAAAGAAATAAAAAAAGAATTATTCGGACCTCCCTTTTAATTTTTTTTTTCCGGTCCTTTTTAATTTAAAATAAAATAAAATAACTCACTTTTAAAAATTACTTGATTAAATAAACACTTGGCCAAGTTTAAAACGAAATACATTAAAACACGTTTTTGGCTTTAGTGGTAATAAAAATCTTAACCAAAGCTCCCAAATACCACTTTTTAACACTTTAGAAATTTCTTTCCTTTAAAATACCTGTTTTGCTCTTTTCAAAATACGAAATAGAAAATTCTAAGACATTACCACCACCGTGAAAACGGCTAAGGCAAATAACAAAGACACACAGCAGAAGACTCTCTTTAAAAAACAATTAAAACAAGTCAACTTAAAAAGTCAAACCAATGAAAGTAAAGTCAAACCAAAGTCAAATGAAGTCAACCTACAACTTGGAACCTTTGTAGGCCCTTATTAAAACCGAGATAAGACTTAAAACCTTTGTGTTAGTCTCACAAGCAAAATATATAATACTCAAAGCAATAAATCACATCACATTCTTATAGAAACTAAGCATGATTCGCTCTTCACTCATGCCCATCATGAATATGCTTCATCACTTGAAAAGCTTCTCTTTACTTTGTCCCCACTACTCGCCATTAGAAATGGGTCGTCATAGAGCCAAGATAAATCAAGGCCAAACAAACATACAAACACACAATCAGCAATGCTGAAAACATAAGCATAATTAGAACACACTAACATGCTGTCATTATGTCATCACACAACTTACCTTGTTGCACCTGTTTACAAGCATACAACATATAACATAGCCAACTAACAAATCAATAGATTATTTATTTAGCTTGATTACACATCGAACGGGTTTCCCCCTAACCTGCCCCAATAAAGGGGTACTAACACGGGAGCTAACTCTGCCAGAATAAAAGAACCACTCGTAAGTGGCGGAAATTCCTGCGCATAATAAAAAGGAATATACAGCGTCTTGTACTCCCAATAGAAGTAATGGTCAAATATAAAGTTGCATAACTCCCCCCATATGTTCATACTCGAGGTATATGCGTTCCAAGAGTTTTGGTGCGCAATCTCTTTTACCCTGCAAACAAAAGATGCACTCACCACAAATACAGCAGGATCAAGTATCTTTGTACCATGATTCGGTTTAACTCTAGCTATCCGAGGTTTTTTTTTTAATAAAGTGATCACCCATTGAATTTTGGCTCGGTTCCTACACATATTAAGCATGCAATGTTGCATTAATTACTTCTTCAAAATGCCATATAAAGTACAAATTACAATATTAAAGTTGTATTAAAACAAATTACAATATTAAAGTACAAATTACAATATTTAGGTTGCGTTAAAAACAAATAATGCATACACTTTTATCATCTTTGTCGGCAATATTCATTGATTCCTTCAATTTTTGCTTCCCCATTTGTTTTTCCATCTCCATTTGTTTTTTCTTATTATTTTCCTCGTGTAAGGCAACAACTTCACTAATCATGCTTTCGGATTCTGCACTCTAGCTTACAGATTCTGAATCTGACTTAGGATGGAAGTCATAATCAGATTTAATCACCCTCGTAGTAGTCAATGTCTTGCATCGCCTCCTCCTGTGTTACGTTTTTTTCTTTTAGACACTTCATATGTTCTCCTTGCACAAAGACAAAGGATACAAATTCAAACTTCTATTGTGGCTCTAGGATATTATAGAGAATGTGGGAAAAGAGGAGGTTACATGGAATATGATATGATAATACCAGCTTCAAAAACAAGAATATACAATACTTTAATTTTAGGTACAATGTCACTAAACATCATGAAAAGATAAGCACTTTCATATCATGGAAAAGAAAATGACAACTTGTGTTTGTATTCTGCATGTCACAATTACTTAGAAAGCATTGTGCTTGCAGATTATTTTGGGATTGTAGCAGGTCTTACAATGTGGGGATACAGAGTGATATCAACCATTGGAAAGAAGATCACTGAACTCACACCAACAAGAGATAGTAAAGGAGATTGTCACTTCTTAGGCAGTGACAATTCCTGTGGGTGGACTTCCAGCAGTCTTATACACAACAATCTTAACCAAGGGTTTATCGTTTGTTTGGAGTTCATTATGTTTGATTGCCGGATAATAGGTCGCGGTCTACTATCCTAGATCAAATCAACAATTTATATTCCTAATCTTACTTTACCAAGTTTATACAAGATAGTGGCAAGCTAGGGTTGAGCCACAAGGACTAAGTGTATTAATTTGAGCTAATTAAACTAGTAGGAAGGATGTGAGGTAGAGAGAGGAACAACTAAAACACTACTTTAAACGATCAACAAAATATTAGGGAAAGTGGAATCCAATTACATTTATGAATTCAACAATAAATTGCAATAAGATGATCATGATCTCAATTAGGAACGATCAACACACTCAATTCACTCCCGCGCAATTAAGCATGTTAATTATCCTACTAAGATAATTCACTCCCGCGCAACTAGCCTAGCATAGGTATAAAAGGATCTAGACTATTAATCAACTCACTTCCGCACAATTGATTGAAAGCGCAATTAGAAACCTAGAATCAATTAGCTAAAAAGACTCAAAGCAATGTAAGCATCATCCATACACAATAATCAAGAATCAATTACATACTAATCACAATCAATCATTCAATTAATTAATCATAACCTTCATCCATTTCCTTAGAACAAAATCTAAGCAATCATAATGAAAAAAAAAACATGGAAATCAAGGTAAAACAAGAATAAAGCAAGAATCAAACAAGTAATCTAATTATCTACTCTAATCAACAAAGATATAAGCCAAAAACAACAATTAAAGAAAGCAATAAAGGTGAGAGAAAGTTAGAAAAGCTCATTGAATAATTGAGAAGAGAATCCACATAAATGCTTCTTCAAGCTCTCAAATCTTCATTGAAATCCCAAACTTCTCTCTCTAAAACTACTCCTAAACTAGAGAGAGAAACTCCTAATCTAAGCCTAATCCTAATTAGAGGAGAGAGAAAGTGTAAAAATCTTCTAAAGGAAGTCTTTCCCCCAAAATAGGGTCGTACACTCTTTATATTACAAGAAGAAAACGGAGAAAAATCGAAGATTAAACGCGAAGAAAACCCTGAATACCGCGCCTGCGCTCAACAAGGCCGCGCCCGCGGTGGCAGGGGTACCGCGCCCGCGGTGGGGCATCTCCGAGGCATTTACAGGAAGCCATGAAAAACTGGAAAACGCAGCACCGCGCCCGCGGTGGGCAGAAACAGGCTGCCGCGCCACGGCTAGGCTGACCGTGTCACGACAATGTGCTGGCGCTTGCTTGGTTATTGTGATGCTTGCTCTTGCTTGGTTCTTTGCTTCTTTTTGACTTCAAGGCTTCTTCTTATGAAATTTCCGGCTTTCTCTCGGGTCATCAACATCGAGGAAAGTGCTAAGTACCTGACAAATAGACCAAGAGAGAAAAGAGTGAAAGATCACACAGAAAAGCACGCAAATCAAGCTAGAAATCGAGCAAAAAGTGCATTATTCACAACTAAGGCCTAAAAACATAAACTAAGACTTTATTAACCAAAACAAGAATAAAAGGACTAAAAATAACCAAGAAAGACCAAAATAAACCTAACACTAAGGGATAAAACCACCCTAAAATGTGTCATTTATGACACTTATCCGTGTTGCGTAAATACCAAATTTTCAAGAATGCTTCGGACCAAGGAATACAATACTACAATGAAATTGTACAAATTTCAGATTTCACATTTACTATGTGAAGATCTACTTTAAAATACTAAAGTAGCATCTGAATATGATATCAGGGCCGAAAAGAGAGCCTTCAATGGCTCACCAGGCCAATCATTAGAGGACAGCAGGTCAGCAGCAGACTCCAAACAAACAGGAAAATGCTCATGAAACCTCTATAAAGATGATGCAACTCAATCATTTACATTACCTCCTCTCATTCTAATATAAAATTAATTAATGAGTGAATAAGCATGGGCAACCTAATTATCAAAATGGCAAATTGTTGAGGAAAGTTTATACCAACAGCTAAATGGCATTACCTATGCTAGTCCCTTAACCTTCACCCCACAATTCATTATCCTACACTGCATCTCCCTCCTCTTCCTTCTCCACTCACCAATCAGCCCCTGCACCATAAAAAACCAAAGCATCCCGTAAATCCAACCGGCCATTTTCGGACCACCCATCACCTTCCCAAACGCCAGCCACGAACCTAAACTCCTCCTTTTGCCCGAACCTCAAGCTTTGATACATAAAAAATTCAAGAAAACTTCAACAATACCTAAATTCGAGTATACTCGAAGTATATAAACTTAATTCGACTATAATTCAACTAATTCAAATTTCAAAGTATAATTCAACTAATTCAAACTCAAATTCAACTCTATTAGCTTGCATGCAATCTAATCAAAACGACTGAAAACCCTAAATCCGCAACAATTTAACAACCCTAACCAGAAATTCGCAAACCAAACACAAAGAACCTTTCATCTACAGTTAACCCTACAAATCCAGATCAAAATTCACACGAAAATTCGCACAAATTTTTTCAAACAAAAGTGCACAATTTCTGAAATCAAAGAGAAGAACTAACCTTGTCGCCGCTTTATTATTGAACCCTTGAGAAGCCTAGCCGGAAACACGAAACCAAAGAGAAGCTTAGCTGCTTAGAGAAGAAAGAACAGTGCCGCGAAAACGAAAACCAAAAGGAAAGCTTCTTAAAATGAATGACGGGAAACGGAGTGAAAGCCTTTTATATGTGCATATTGTATTTTCTACATTCATTAACTATGAAATACCAAATATGCCCCTGGTCCAGCACGTTGCTGGGCTGAGCCGCACTCAAACTCGCCTCCTTTTACCGCTACAACACCAGTGAAAATGTCATATCCATACGAATACGACTCATAGCCCGCTACCCCTAGACACAAGGAGAATCTCGGCAAAACGCGGCTGCCTGCATTGCATTAGGTGGTGCTTGTCTCTTCTAAAACACACTCATACACAAAACCCTGCAAAACCCAGAAAGTGATGTCTACGAAAGCAGGAGCAGCTCCATCTACATATTCTCCTTCAACCCAAAAGAAGAAACCTCAAAAACCCACCCTCAATCACTCTAATGGCGTTCGTTCTGATGGTCGTGGCTTTTACCAGTGTAGAGCTGCTTGTAATTACCCTCTCTTTCCTTTTTTTATTCATCAATTTTTTCTAGTTTATGATTAATTGCTTTTGATTCTAGTTTTCCTGCTTTTTTTTTTTGTTCAATTTCATGTTTTTGATTTTTGGAGCTTGGGTTATTGATTATATTGCATGTTGTGTTTGTTATTCGTTTTGGGTATGAATTGATACTTGTTTTCTGTCTTTTGTTGCTAATTATTTCTGGGTTTTTGAAGTGAATTTTGTATGATTTGTCTTTTGCATTAGATTGGAGAATGAGGCAAATTGGCAAAAATGTTGATTTAAATTTACACAGAAAGTTGGTTAAGAATGGCTTTACTCTTATATTACTTGAATGCTCAATGAGATATGTTCATCGTATGCACGGAACTAATTGAACCTTCTCCATTAAAGAACTTCATCATAAGCTGGGGATAGTGAAGTATGAAATTTCGATAAAGATCTGCTGTATAAAATTGACATAGTCCTGCGAAATTGTGACTCTGGTTACTTACTCAACTCTTCCTCTTATTTTGCAGACTTGAAGACTGGGGCTGTCAATGCTGCTGGTGGTTCTGCATATGCAGAATTTGGCAACACCAAGGTCATTGTGTCTGTGTGAGTTATCGATGCCTGCATGTAGACAACATTCTCTTTTTAAAATAAGAAACCTAATTATTAGATATTAGTGTCATCAGTTCCATGTATGTGGTTAAATGTGATTTATGTTTGTTCTTTTTCCTCCCGGTAGATATTTTTTTGTTACATAGTCTGTAAATTGGTCATCATTGCAATGAAGGGACTGGTCAGATAATAATTATGAAATAACTAGTAATTTATATACTATAAAACTTAATAAAATGGAACTAAGAAAAATAAATTAGTTCTTGGGTTATGAAGAGTTGTAGTAAACAAATAATACTTGTTGTAAGACTGGTAATTACTCTTGCATGGATTTCTTTTTCCTATTTTAGGAGAGTGGGACTGATGATACATTGGTTTGTACAATGTATATTGCTATGTTGTTAATCATCAATGAATTTAACTAGATTGGTATGATCACTGGTTTGCGGAAGTGGATTATAATCCTGAAAGCGTAATAGTTTGTGTTGGTCAATACTTGTGTTCACTTTTCTGGTTTATACTGCATACTGGCACCAGTCAAGTCTCTGGGTCACCATTTGGTCTCAGGTCTGTGGATAATGAGCCACAAGGAAATATCCCCTGCCAATAGAACCTCTCCCCAGTCCATGCATTGAGTGGGAGTACTCAGGGTTTGGAGGTGTGGAATCAAAGAACTGCAAGAATGTATAATAAAAAAAAATAAAGGGAAATTGCATTTGTTATTGGGACACATAGGAAAGAAAAGTTGACATGCAACTAGCAAGGAGAAATTGGATGGAAGTGTTGCCTATTAAGTGTTGAGGGTTTAGAAACATATGAGAAAGGGTTGGTTTATGTTATTTTAGGAGAATCATTCGAACTGGTCGCTGGTGGTAATTAGTGTGTGCAATGTATTCAGGAGCTAAGTGTAATATCTATGAGTGCTACTGTAAGATGGATTTTTGGAGCGTGATTTGAGATGATGTTTGGAGTGCTTCTTCTATGGAAGACATTTGAAGTGTTAAAGCCGGCAATTTTACTGTATTAGGAGCTGGTGGAAGTTGGTATATATCATTGATGCTAGGTGCTATTCCTATGAATCGGGTCGACCCACTCCAGGAACAACCAATTTGGGTCTATGAGAGAAGACACAAGCACAAGACTACAAGACAAGAGCACAAGACTACAAGACGAGCAGCAGCAAGAAGACAAAAAGAGTTAATGATCCACTAAGAAGTGTGGCAACTGATTTTGTGTGGGAAGGCCACCTTGGCAGTACATGACAAAGTTCCTTAATTGTAGGGTACCTTGTGGGGGGGGGGGGGGATGCTTAGTATATAAGAGGAAGCAATGCAATAGTAATGTTCATGTTGTTATTGGAGAAAGTAGTAATAGAGTAGCAATAGTTGTAGTATTCTTTAAGTGTCAAGCTGTAGCTAGACCATAGTTCTTGTAGCCGTCATTTTCAGATTTCAATCAAAAGTATCTAAGCCTTAATCTATTTCTTATCTTACTGTTACATTCAAGCAAACCGATTAATCTAGTCCATAGCAAGTGGTATCAAAGCGGTCGATAATGGTGACCTCGCTCACGGTGAGGGTGGAGGCAGTCGAGGAGAGACTCACCACCTTGGAGACTTAGCTCACGACCATGGATGGGAGGTTCGATTCTCAGGTAGCGCAACTCAAAGCCATTGAAGGGCGGTTTGACTCGCAAGAAGCTGCCATCAGAAGGGTGGTGCAGGCGGCCGTGGCTCAGGTGTTGGAGACGGAGTGGAAGCGGTCGGAGGAAGCTCTAGCAAACACAACCACTCGGTTGGAGGCTAGAATTCGACCGTTTTCGAACAGACCATGAGAGGCTAGTCGCGATTGAAAAGGAAAATAACTAGAAATTCTCAAGGGAAGAGCGCCACCTTCACACGGCGGCTCGCCGAGGCGGAGTTGCAAGAGCGAAGGGCCAAAAATCTGTGTTTTCGATGCGATGAGAAGTGAGGTGTGAGGCATCGGTGCAAAAGGAAGGAGATGAGCGTGTTAATGGTGGCGGAGGAGGATGAGATGCCGGAGATGGAGAATGACGTGCCGGTGGAAGCGGAAGTCGAGGTATCACTTTGCTTTGTGGTCGGAATTTCTAACCCTAAAACTATGAAGTTGAAGGGTGAGTTAGGAGGGAGAGCGGTGGTGGTGATGATCGACCCCGACGCCACCCACAATTTTATTACATTACAGTTGGTGGCGGATGTGGTGATTCCGGTGATGAGGGGTGGTTCTGTGTAGCCTTGGGGAATGGGGAGATGATAAAAGGAAGTGGGGTTCGCCGCAAGGTGGAGGTGAGGTTGGACGGAGGTGTGAAGGTGATAGAGGATTTTTTGCCATTAGAGCTAGGGAACGCCGATGTGATTCTCGGAGTGCAGTGGTTGGAGAAACTGGGATCAGTAACGACCTATTGGAAAACTCATATAATGAAGTTCCGGGTAGGGGGATGTCGGTTACCTTGACAGGTGATCCTTTACTTGAGAAGACCCAAATTTCGTTGAAGGCGATGACTAGGAACTTGTGAGGAGAAGCAGGGAGTGTCGGTGGAGTTGAACAAGTTGGAAGGTGAGAAGCTAGGAGGAGCAGCGGAACCGCAACCTTCCTGTTCTTGGCAGAACTATTGAAGCAGTTTCATGGTGTTTTTGAAATGCCAGTGGGCCTCCCTCCTCATAGGGGCCATGAGCACTCAATTGTGCTTAAAAAAGGGAGCGATCCAGTAAGTGTACGACCATACCGTTACCCCCAAATCTAAAAGGATGAAATTGAAAAATTGATCCTTGAGATGCTTTAAGCCGGAATTATTCGGCCTTCCACGAGCCCCTTCTCTAGCCCGGTGATTCTTGTGAAGAAGAAGGACGGAAGTTGGAGGTTTTGTGTTGATTATAGGGCATTGAACAAGGAGACCGTGCCAGACAAATTCCCCATCCCAATTATAGATGAGTTACTTGATGAGTTGAATGAAGCTAAGTGGTTCTCGAAATTGGACTTGAAGTCCGATTACCACCAAATAAGGGTGAAATCGGAAGATGTTCATAAGAAAACATTTCGCACTCACGAAGGGCATTATGAGTTCCTAGTAATGCCCTTTAGATTGACAAATGCCCCAGCAACGTTTCAATCTCTTATGAATGAGGTATTTAAGTCGTTTTTGAGGAAATTTGTTTTGGTGTTTTTTGACGATATTCTTGTGTATAGTATAGAGGAGGGTGAACACAAGGAGCATGAGAGATTAGTTTTGGAGAAATTGGCTACACATAGCATATATGCCAATTGGAAGAAATGTGAATTTGTGAAGCAAGAGGTAGCGTATTTGGGGCATGTTATTTCGGGGAAGGGAGTAGCTATGGATATGGAGAAGGTGAGGGCCATTGTTGATTGCGGGGAACCAAAGAACTTAAAAGAGTTGAGGGGATTCCTAGGTCTCACCGAATATTACCGAAATTTGTGTCACACAATGCTCAAATTGTTGCCCCGTTGACATCTGGTGGAATTTGGAGGCTACTCAAGCCTTCAGCCATGACAACAACCCAGTTTTGGCAATGCCGAATTTTCAGCTTGAATTTGTAATTGAGACCGATGCGTCGGGTTATGGCTTAGGTGCGGTGATGATGCAACAAGGAAGACCAATTGCCTACTTTAGCAAGCTCCTTGGGGTTAGGAATAAGGCAAAGTCCATTTACGAAAAAGAATTAATGGCTATAAGTTTAGCCGTGATGAAGTGGAGGCACTACCTCCTTGGTAGGCGCTTTGTGATTCGCACGAATCAGCAGAGCTTGAGGTTTTTAACACAACAAAGAGAGGTTGGAGGGGAGCACCAGAAATGCGCAAGCTGATGGGTATGGATTTCGAAATCTAATATAAACCGGGCCCTTCAAACAGAGTTGCTGATGCTCTGTCGCAAAGGAGGAGTCCCAACCAGCTTGGGGTCTTAATTTCATCGCAGGAGGTCAATTGGGTGACCTTGAGCAAGATATAGCCCAAGATCAGTGGCTCAGTAAGCTTAAGAAACAACTGGAAGAAAATCCCAGTGAGTGCAAAGGGTTTTCTTTGGCTGGAGGCAAAGTTTTGTACAAGGGTCGAGTAGTGGTGCCCAAAAATTCGAAATTCACTCTGAAATTATTGAGGGAGTATCATGACACTCCTATGGCTGGGCTTGATGGCGAGGTAAAAACTTACCTTCGGCTCGCTACGGACTAGTTTTGGCCCGGCATGAGGAAGAGAGTAGGTGAGTATGTGCGAGGGTGTGAGGTATGTCAAAGAAGCAAAACATCTCATCAAGGTGCAGCGGGGTTTTGCAACCATTGCCGGTGCCGGGAGCAATTTGGGATGATCTCTCTATGGACTTTTTAGAGGGCCTACCACTCTCTAAGGGAGTGAATGTGGTGATGGTGGTAGTAGACACGCTGTCTAAATATAGCCACTTCTTTGGGTTAAAACACCCCCGACATCTTTGTAAGGGAGGTGGTGCGCTTACATGGGTTTCCCTCATCGATCGTTTCCAATCATGACAAGGTGTTTATGAGTATTTTTTGGAAGGAGTTATTTAGATTACAAGGCACGCACCTCAAACGCAGTACCTCATACCACCCGCAAACTGACGGTCAGACGGAGGTAGTCAAGACTTACTTACGGTGCTTTGTGGCTAGCCAACCCAAGACTTGGGCACAATGGCTTCCTTGGCTGAGTATTCATATAATACTTCACCCCACACTTCCACCAAGATGACACCATTCAAGGTGGTTTATGGGAGGGATCCGGCCAAAATTTGGTAGATGAAAGATGATTTAACTGTGGTCTGTAGGATGGGTTGAAGGAGAGGGATTTGGTGTTGGATGAGTTACGCATGAATATCAATCGAGCACAACAGTTAATGAGATTGAATGAGGATGGCAAGAGAAGAGATGTGGAGTTCGATGTGGGTGATTGGGTGCATCTCAAGTTACAGCCATATAGGCAGCAGTCCATTGCAAGGCGGCCCTTTGA